GGTACACGCTTAGCTATTGTAATAAGGAGTTGATTAAAATTATTCCCATTCAAATCCGCTGCCTCGGATGCCCGCAAGAACGAAAAGTTATTTCTCCATATAGTATTACTTTGGAGATACGCGGTTGTTTACGCGCATCGCACCGAACAGGTTCAATCCTGTTGCGTGACGTCACTGCCTTATAGACGAAATTTAAGGTTTTAGGAGGTATTTTTCGACGAATGTTTGTGGAAATTGGGAAGCGGGGGTATTTTTCTCGGGGGATCTCGAATTTTTGGTCGGATTTTCAAAATCTCAAAATCCAAGATGGCGGCCGTGGCCTAAAATGCTAAGTCGGCTCCTGTTTGATCGATTTTCGTGAAACTCGGTATCCAGGGGTATTTTTCGACTAGAAACTCGAATTTTTGGTCAGATATTCAAAATTTTCAAATCCAAAAGATGGCGCCGTGGCCTAAAATGCTAAATTGGCTCCTGTTCTATCGATTTTCGTTAAACTCGGTATCCACCGGTATTTTTCGACGAGAAACTCAAATTTTTGGTCAGATTTTCAAAATTTCCAAATCCAAGATGGCGGCCGTGGCCTAAAATGCTATATCGCTTCCTGATATCGATCGATTTTTGTGAAATTCGGTATTAGGGGGTATATTTCGACGGGAAATTAGAATTTAAGGTCCGATTTTCAAAATTCAAAAATCAAAAATGGCGAACGCGTGGTCTACATTGTTATCTCGGCCTCCGATCCATCGATTTTTGTGAAATTCGGTACTAGGAGGTGTATTTCGACGGAAAACTCGCATTTTTGGTCAGATTTTCAACATTCAAAAATCAAAAATGGCGAACGCGTGGTCTACATTGTTATCTCGGCCTCCGATCCATCGATTCTTGTGAAATTCGGTACTAGGAGGTGTATTTCGACGGAAAACTCGCATTTTTGGTCAGATTTTCAACATTTTCAAATCTAAGAAGGCGGCCCCGCACGAAAACGTGGTCCGGACTCCTAGAACATCAATTTCTGTAAAACTTGGTGAAAAAGAAGATTAAGACATAGATGTTGTCTCCTCATCAATGTTAAAAACTGTGCGGGGCGGTAGCGGCTCGCGGAGCGAGTCGCAAGTTCGTCGCGAAGCGTAGAACTGGGGTCCAAGGGCACTCCCCGGCTAGACATGTCAGCTCGCAAAGCGAGCTAATCACGACTTGTCATATATATAAGCTCCAAGACCTCCTAAATTTGCGTACCTGGTAACGCTTAGTTCCGGCGTTCTACCGGGCCGATTTTCATGATTTTTGCGACTATCGACAGGCAATTGTTTTTAGATGAGCCCGCTGTATTTTGATTTTGAAAATACGACCCAGGTTTTTGTATATTACGTGGTAAAGTTGCCAATTCTCCCATTTAAACAATGCAATTTTTTATTTTTTGTCATAGTTCGTTTGGGCGTTCTATTGGGCCGATTTCCATGATTTTTTCGGTTATCGACAGGTGACAGTCACTAGATAAGCCCGTTGTAATCATAATTTAAAAAAAAAAAAAACCAGATTTTTTTGTATTAGAGGAGATCAGAAGGCTTAGAAAGGGGGGCAAAATTTGAAATTTCCGCCAATGAAAAATGACGGGAATTTTATATTTCGCGGAAAAATGAAGTAAGCGGGAAATGTTGAATCTTGGTCCGTTAGTAGGGTAAGTGAATCGAAGTCATACTCCTTTGCTACAGACTATCAAAAGGCGACGAAACGTTCCGTTTCGTTTGGGTCTTGGCTTGAAGTTTGAAATAAATGCCGATTTTTTTCATTCGATTCTTATTGGTCCAATTGCTCCCGGCCAGAGGGAGATTAGATAAATGAGAGTCGAGTATGAAAATCTTTTCATTTTTTTTTTTTGGTCGTTCTTTTGCGGACGCGGGCCCAAGAGAGCGCGAAGCGCTATCATGGGGTTGAGCCGCGTAGCGGCCAGGGGGCTTAGCCCCCTAGTATACCGTATTTCTATAATTTGCACTTTGTCTAGGGGCACGTTTCGCTAGAATCTTCAGTTCTAGCGTGTAAAGGGATGGAAAGTCGATAATCGACGGGTCAAAAGAACCCTTGGGTATAAATATTCTTTCGGAAGCAATACAGCAATTTAAAATGGGGGTCTTGAAAACCGCGGCAATTCTGCCCCCCTCATGGATTTAACCCTGAGTCGGATATGTTGTTTCTTATCACAAAACACGCCTTCTTTCGACAACAGCATATTCAAACAAAATTCCTCGTTAGTTACATCGTTGCCAAGTTGAAAACAAGACCATTCCGTCGATGACATTAAAATTGAGAAACAAACTCGCGGTTTCGGCAATTTTTTTTTTTTTTTTTTTTTTTTTTTTTAAAGAAAATGCGCAATTTACAGATATGGTCATTTTTTAATAACCTATTAACCCGCCATTTATTGTGTTACTTATTCGTAACAACTCATTTTTTTGGTTTTTTTTTTAAAAATGTATCTACTTCTCTGTGGCATAATGTTGCAAATCTTCATGAAAACTTTCTTTTTTTGAAAAATTTATAAAATCATTTTGAAATTCTGTGGGAAACAATTTGGGACTCTACGTTATTACGAAAGCCACAGCATGGATTTGTGCCACCAAAAATCCAACACCGGAAATGAATTCATTGCACAGTGGGGTAATGGTAACATAGACTGTGCCAATTTTTCGATGTATAAATTTGTTCATTTTTTTAAAACCGCATTTATCTTAAAAATTTTTCATTTTGACCTGAACATAAAGTTGTCGTAACGATGGCTCGTCTGATTTTGCATCTATCGATATACTATATCTCGCATTAACATTTTTTGTGTGCGAGTTATGAACATGTTTGTAAATGGCTTTTCGGAGTGACGACGCCTGTTAAGTCCAGGCAGATAGGAATTTTATCCTTAATAATTATCAGATGGCCTACCTACAAGCAAACCTTAGCAATTACCAAGAAAACCCCGAGTTTAATGCGAATCCGACCGTAAGCGTCCGTAATACCAAGTTTTCACCTATTTTCCGGCGTTATTCTGAAGCTATTCAGAATTTCAAACATCCAAAGAAAACCTCGTTTTCCGTGCCGAGATACTCCCGAATACCAAGTTTCATGCAAATCCACCGACAAGCAACCTCTCAAGCATTCTCTTGCCTCTCTAGGTCACCATTTTGACTGCTGCCATTTAGAAAAGGACAAAATTTTTCGGAAAACGAATGCTGGAATCGTTTTTCTAGTCCCAAAAAACCCTTGGATATCAGGTTTCGACTCATTCCGTCAACAAAAACGGAGATGTCAAATATCCATTATTTCGAAATTTGACCGGCCGCCATTTTGTCAAAAAGTAAAATTTTGACTTGCGGTTTAGGCCGAACATTTTCGTTTTTTATCCTCTTTCGATTGATGTGCCACAAAGGGGCGTTGCCATTTGAAAAGAAAGTTGAGATCCGTAGCCAGTTCCATGGGGGGGAGGGGGTTCAAAAATTTTGGGGGGTCTCAAAAGTAGCTAACATGGATCTATGAACATTTCCGAAGTTTCGTTTCAAAAATTAATTTGGTAAAATTTTAGAGGGGGTGGAAGGGACTTTTAGGAAACCTTGAATAATATCGCTCATTTTTATGAGACAAAATTTTTATTTAGTAAATTTTGCCGAGATGTATCGAAAAATCAAATTTTGAGACATTGATGGAAAACTTTCTCACACAGGTTAACGAATATAATGAACTAAATGCACTGAGGTCATAAATAAATAACATAATCCATTGCAATCTTGCCAGAATTAAGTCTAATTATTTAATTTTTTGGGTATTTGACCATCATCATTTATCGCCCTATTTCTAGTTAACAATTTCTTACGTATCGAAAAGTTGGAACTCGGATTCACCGTCGAAAATTACACAGCAGACCTCAAAGTTAATGCTATCAAGTGTTTTTAAGGCTAAAATTTATATCTGCCTGCAGCCCGACCACAGACCTCTATGGCTCATGGCGATAGAAGTGCGAGTTTATTCCATAGCAGTTCCATCGCTAAAATTTTTCTGCGACCACGGACCGCGATGGCACGGCAATGGAAAGCATGCGATGTTGAACGATTAACTTGAAAAGAGGAAATTGTTCTCAACAAATCACCGTCCTTGATGCATTCAACGAAGAAGAAGAAGCAGGTTGGAAAACATTAATGGCGGGAGATACAATTACCTCAAAATATCGATTTCAACCAATGACTTGAACCAAATCAACTTGAATGGCCGATGAGTGAGAAGCACGTAAACAAAATAAGAACCCCAACCTCAACCTCAATTTCGATGGAATCGAGCAGTGCCATCGACCCATGAGCGATGGAACAGCTTTCCAAAGGCCGTTTCTACAGATGAAGGTCTGTGGTCGCCCTCGAAGGGTATTCCGTTGGAATGGTACCTAGTTCAATCAATATCGATGGAAGAGAGAGGTCTGTGGTCGGGCTGCTAAAAAGCGTCGTTGTTCCAAAAAACCGTTTACGAATATGGTCATATCTCGCAAACATAACATTTCAATGCGAAATTTAATATATCGATGGATGTGAAATCAGACAAACCATTATTGAGACAACTGTATATTCAGATTAATATAAAACAATTTTGAGATAACTGCGGCTTTGTAAAAATCAACGAATTTATAAATCGAAAAATTGGCAACAATTAGGAAGTTACTAAACAATGAGCATATCTTTAAATTGCACATTTTTTTAAACACATTGTGTAAACCGCGACTTGGTGGCTCAATTTCAATGTTTCCAACGGGATGGTCTTGTTTTCAACTTGGCAACGCTGTAGCGCGAAGGAAAAAAGGTTTTTTGAACATGCTGTTGCCAAGAAAAGGCTTGTCTTGTGATAAGAAACAAAGTAGGTATCCAACTTAAGGTCAGATCCCTCGGGGGAGGGGGGGGGGATCGCCGATTATGTATATCAGTCATTGTTCAAGTCTCGTACTTATAACTACATCTCATGGATATTTCACACACCTGTAAAGGTATATCCGAATCCAATTCAAACTTCTCCACTCTGTCTGTCCATGAAATGAACTTTTTGGTTTCAGGATCAATGTAGTAATTGAAGACATATCCGACCGGAGGGAACTTGATGGCTTTGAATTCATTAATCCACCATTTGGTAAACTCGGCACGGTAATCTATGAGCTAAATACATGTAAAATACAATTTTAAAAAAATAAGAACGAACGTATAGTGGGGCTGATAAGCGTAAAAATCGTGCTCTTCTGGAAGAAAGCATGAAAATTTCAGGGATTCATCTCTACCCTATAGACATTCGATTTAGACATAGACCCCAAAAATCTGGGGCCCCCTGGGGGGCCTCCAAATTTTGAATTTTGAATAACTACCGAACGGCTAATGTTAGCGTAATTTTTCTACAACAGGATGATGGGAAATTTTATTAGGAACAAAAATGATTCTTATGAATTTTTCTGTGGGATCGATATTTAAGGCGTGAAACGGGAAAAACCATCGGGGGACGGGGAGCCGGCCGTTCTGAGGCAGATCCGCGAGCTGCGCTGCCTGCCCGGGACGCGCGCCGCGGCCCGCCGCGCAGTGCAGTGTTACCGACGACACAGCCGCTTGTCTTGGTTTAATCTCAACGATGCGTAGTTTTAAAAATATTATGAATATATCGTACTACTTATAAAGCCTTAAAATAGGGCTTAACTTTTGCAGATAATATAGGTATACAAGCAAGCGCACGGCAACAGAAGGAGAAGGGGTTAAGTGCTGGAGTTCCGGACTGTTTTGTTGTATGGGTTTGTCGAGTTTATTAAAGCATCCGACATAACTGTATCAGATATCAGATGAACTAAAAATCACAAATCTTATTTGTATACCACGATGACCTGAGAAATGATTTTAAAGTGTTTTTTTTTTCTTTTTCTCGGTGCTGCGCCACCAGAATGGTATCTAAATATGCTTACATACCTTAAGGTTCCTGGGAGATGGCTTCCTGCCAGACTTTGTAGACAGGGAACCTAATTTTTTAAAAAATGAGTATACATAAAAACATGCTTATTCTCATCTCTTGAAGGGACGTTTTGGTACATCATTGCTACGTTTAGGCATTTTTTTAAGAGGACCAAAACCACCTTCAAAACTTGCTCCAAAAAAACGCCAAAAGAATCTTGAGAAAGCTTGATACGGATAAAAGACCCCCATAAAACCTTTATTGGGCTGTTTCTTGTACAGTACAAAGAATAATATTAAGTAATAACTAGCCGTCAATATCCGTTAATCTGTAAAAACGGTCCATTTGAGTGATAGGAAGTCGCGCCTTCTGGGAACCTATCCTGCTATGTCATCAATTAAATCGCGCGTCATACGATATCCCGCAATCTCGGTAATCTTGCAACTGATTAGGTACTGATTTTGACTGATTTGTTGATATTTTGACCAAAAATTAACCTTTTGATGATCTCTGAAGCTAATTCGATCAGTGCTATATTTTACGATAAAGTTTAAGGTGTACGTTTTGTGCATTGCATATTTTGCAAGTCCCGTTTCTTGACAATTGTCTCCGACTTACTTACCTAGAACTCTACCATGAGCTCCATACAAATCAACAATCGGTACGAGATTTGCGGGTTGAAAAAGAAGAAATGCAATGCATTTCTTCCTGAGGTACTGGTCCTTCTCAGAGGTTCTTTAAAGGATCAGAACCTGCATGATAAATAAATTTCCTCCTGTATCAATATTTTTTTCAATACAAATGTTACCAACTCCACTCCAAACTCCAAAGAACCAAATAAAAGATAATATACATGGATTTTTTGTACTGCTCATTCCAGTTTTTATGTCTCGTGGTAAGTATCAATAATATCTTCAAGGGTGACTCGATAAAAAGAAGCGATAGTATTCAGATATCTTCTTTTTTTTATTAATTTAATATATTGTTCTACTTTTTGAAATATGCATATTTGTTGAATGGCTGAAGGAGTGGGGAGTTCATGAAAATAAAAACTTCTATCAACTGGCTGGAGGAAAAAGAGGAGAAAAGAACATTGCCGGAATGATCCGTACGTATCAGTACCTATGCAATTGCAAGAAACCATTGAACATGGACGAAAAACGATATTAGAGGAAAGTGAGGGAAATCTGGTAACCTTGTGGCGGAGGGACTGTGAAGCCCCCCCCCTTCCCCTCCCAACTCCTCAAGTAATGCCTTTGCGTCAAGTTTAGCAAAATTCTTGCTTACGTAAGCAGCTCATGGTCCCATTCGCCGAATGTAACATGAAAAATAAGCTAAAAATAAGTTATCAAGGATCCGCCATTTCAAATAGTCATGAAAAAGTGGGTCAAAATCGTATTAAAACTTGTTGTGTCGCTCTAATATCTTAAAAAATGTAATCCTTTACAAACCTTACTTGAGGAAGAGGTAATTTACTCTGTACTGAGGTTGGAAAAGCCCTATATTCAGAGAAAACAATACGCGTGATGCGCGATAATCGACCCCTCCCATTGACTCGGCGCTCTCATATTGGAGTATTTCGCCTTTTGCTTGTTTTCATGTATTACTAATAAAAAGTGGGGCTTATATTGCTAAGAAAAATTATTTAGGCAGTACGGTAAATTAATAAAATTATTTTTAAAACTGTGCATCGTTGAGATTAAACCAAGACAAACGGCTGTGTCGTCGGTAACACCGCACTGCGCCGCGGCGCGCGTCCCGGGCAGGCAGCGTAGCGCGCGGATCTGCCTCAGAACGGCCGACTCCCCGTCCCCCGATGGTTTTTCTCGTTTCACGCCTTAAATATCGATCCCACAGAAAAATTCATAAGAATCATTTTTGTTCCTAATAAAATTTCCCATCATCCTGTTGTAGAAAAATTACGCTAACATTAGCCGTTCGGTAGTTATTCAAAATTCAAAATTTGGGGGCCCCCCAGGGGGCCCCAGATTTTTGGGGTCTATGTCTAAATCAAATGTCTATAGGGTAGAGATGAATCCCTGAAATTTTCATGCTTTCTTCCAGAAGTGCCCGATTGTTATGATATTTTCCACTTATTGGCCCCACTAGTAGAAGATAATTATTATTGGAAATTTAAAGAGTTTAATCATCCCTAGCAATGAGCACATGTAACGACGGAATATTATAAACCATAATATGAGTATAAATGATACGTAATTGATGTCATTAAGGGTGCAAGAAAAGGGAAGATTCATTGAGGTGTGCCAGCATGATAATCACAATCTAGCAATTACTGTGAGGATGATTTGAAAGGTATCACCACATTGATTAATCTTAAAAAAGTGGCATAATTAGTATAAATGTATATAATAGTAAATGTACGGAAAGGAAATCTCAATCTAAGAGATTTGACGCTTGCATGATTTTGGTTTTTGACGGTCACAGATGTATTGTCAAGGGCTTACCTGGTCCTGAAAACAAGCAGAGCCGAACGCCCACACACACGCAAACACAAAGTACATTTCGTACCATTCTTTAGGACTGTCGCTCGGTACGTTGGATGGAATTAGGAGGGCATCAAGTAAAGAGCACAACATTTGCACGTGTGTGATTTCAGGGATCGGAGTAATGCGCTTGAATTTGGTTCGCAAGACTTCCAACGATGGAGGGACATACTTGTCAAATAATATTAACAACGTTCCTTTCTCTGCATCATCTCGTCGATTTTCTAGCCAGCTTGTCATATAACTGAAAAAGAGAAGAGACGAAACCTTTTCTAGAAAAAATCATTGGGAAATACAATATCTTTGGATGCAAATATTATCCTTAGGAATTATTTTCATTCGCCCTACAAACTGACAAAGGGCTATCCGAGATGAAATGAAGGTATTTTAGTCACTAATTAATGTCAGAATTAACAACACCAAAAAGGTACCTCAGAGATTACATTGCACATACTATCAAAACCTCTAAAACTCTTCTGCGTAAAAATGGATTGACCAAGAAATATTGTTCAAATGCGAGCAGTGTAGCAGTGATACCAAAATTCCGGAAGCACTAAATGATTCATTTGAATAATATTTTAGCTGCTTCCATAAACGTTACTATTATTAAAGTTTCGTGTCACGATTTCAATAGAAAAATTGCAATTTTCCTCACTAGCAGGACAGCGATTTCAAACCTGAATGGCTTGTGATTATTATTTTAAGGTTAGGGATTTGTTAATGTCTCTTGAAAAACTTACGGGTTCCAGCCCAAATCTTGAGGATTAATATATAAGATGCCTGCTCGCGAGACAGTGGCGGGTGTAGCTGTTTTCAGGTTTGAAATTTCAAACAGCAAACGCATTTCTGGTGTTAATGCTATTCGCTCGTTACTTGCTAAAGTTAGCACCTGGAAATTAAAAGTTTTCTATGATCATAATTCTTATACCATTTTATTTTATTTTACAGGATGAGCGAAAAGTCCCCGACCCCCCCCCCCCCCAACTTTTGAACGCATGCTTGTATTGAAACGAAATTTTGGGGATGCT